AGTACTTGATTGTGTTCAGAAGAACAAATTTGGCCCCATGGACACAGATGAGCTGGAGATGGGGTCGCTGTGACCAGAACAGCATCACGGACACTCACAGAGCCTTGGAAACAAAAGAGCATTTCTTTCAGTATTATTAGACTTGACAATTGCAAATATTTAAATAAAGAAACTGTATGAAGTTAGCATTTCTAGTAAAATATTGAAGTATTTTCATGCTGATGCTTCTGTATATGCGTTCTGAAGTATTTAAAAAATACGACTGTAAAACTCCTTTTGCAGGTCCTTTTTACTTATTTTGCTATCAGTGTATTTTTCTCATGGAGTTTTTGTGCAAGGTTTAGCATAAACCATAATAGTGGATATCTTTGACAGTTTAGGTTTTATTTTTTAAAGAGATTATTTTTTGGTTTTCTTTCTTTTTTGTTAATTTTTGATTCTTTTTTAAAGAAAAAAAAAAAAAGCAAATAAATGTTCTGGGTTTTGTTTCTTGACAGTACAGACAATATGCCAAAAAGATGACTTTACATTTTTGTACTGCATTTTTATTGTTAAAAATATGTGATTTTAAAAATTATTATTATTATTATTATTAATTTGCTTGTAGAAATATCTGCTGAAATGGTACAGGGAAAAAAAACCTGCCTCAAGGGGTTGTTTCTTGAACTGGAGACTCAAACTCAAAACTTCCAGGGGGGGGACAAGGTACTGAAAATTAAAAGGGTTCGGTGGGGGGGTTGTTTTTGGAAACTTGATTCCTTTTTAATATTTTGTTGGATTTTAGGAAATTGGGGAAGTGTTTAGCATTAGCCTGAGAAAATCCCAGTACAGCTGCTTGTTTCACTGGCTGGTCTTCCTGATTCTGCAAGGTGGGAAGGCTGATTTTCTCAACTCACACCCCCCAGTGCCATCGTCTCTGTCCTTATGAGTTCTCCATTAATTAGCACAACAGGTAATTATGGAAAAACACCAGAGCAGGACACAAGGCTGGTGTCTCATATCAGCATATCACATGGTGCCGAATAGCTTTTCTTTTTGTTTTTAATTTTAAAAAAGAAAAAAAATGAAAACAAAAAAAATGAAAAAAAAAAAGAAACCACAGGAGGGACTGGCTTTTTCTGTTGTCCATCACTAGAGGCAGCACATGGTCCCTTCAACCATTTTCACAACTCCGGGAGAAACTGTGCAGTACTATACAAATCTATTTTAATACACAACACTCGATTGAACAAGATTTTTATATTCTTTTATTGATGAACAAAGGGAACTAAGTAAAACACAGTTGTTATACATTGGTTAATGTATGCCAATTATGCATTCTGAGTGGCTTGCAATGTAAATGTTTTCAGGTTTAATGATTTTTTTTTCCCTTTTCAGACAAATTTTAAAAAGTATGGAAGGTTGAATATGTGAAAAATTTCTGAAGAACTGTCTTCAACTGTTAAAAGTAGTTATTTTGAAAAGGGGACTGTCCAGTGGATAGTGTGCATAGAAAAAAAAAAAAAGTGTTTGTCTTAAATATGCCAATGTAGTTTTACTTCTTTACGATGCATTAAACATGACTGACAATTTGCTGGCATTGTCCTGGTGGTCTCTGCTGGTGAGGGCCAGGCCAGGGCTGCTGAGGGACCCTCCCTGGCCAGATTCTGTCTGGGGGTGCTGATTTCTCCACCACTGCCTTCCATTTTCCAACTTAAACGCTGCAAAAAGGCAGAGGCACCCTGTCCAGTCCCTTGCTTAACTTCCCACCTCTTAGAATCATTTCCTATCTGCCAGACTCCTGGATTTTGCTTCCACACATGTGCTCTCAGGTGCTCTTCAAATTTTTGTGGTGACCCCATTTTGTAAAGTTATTTAAAAGTCACTTCATAACTGCTGTAAAAAAATATGGAGGGAGGGCCCTTGCAGGGCTTGGCTGGTTTCTGGCTGGTGGAAGGGATGGAATTTCTTCCATTAATAAAATGGAATTAATAATTTCTTCCAATTAATAAAATTAATCAAATGAAAGCAAAACACTCCCAGATGCATAAGGCTTGCCACAGTGGCTGGTGCTTRTGCAGAGCAGAAACAGGGTTGGGCTTTTCTTGTCAGGCGAAAAGGTATTTATTTTTTTTGTCTGGGATTGTGTTGCCTTGTCTTCACCTCCTGTGAGTGTCATGGCCTCATTTCAGGCATTGCCCTCCTTCTTCCCTTAGAGTTCAGCTGCCCCCTCCTCCCTCCCAGCCCCTGATTTTTCCTAACWTTGCTTCCAGTATCAGAGGACACCTCCCCTCCATGCCAGAATACCCCCAAAATCASATGTTGGCATCACCATCATCATCATCACCATCCTGCCACCACTGTAACCTTTAAACTCCGTGCTGTGCTCACAGACAAAAGCTATTTACAGAGCTCTGCATGTTGCCTAAATAATTAATGCAGTTGCAGGAGAGTGTGGCCTTTAATCTTTGATAGTAATTTAAATGKAAGTTTTGGTGGAGATTTGCAGGAGCCACAGTAGCCTCTGTGTTCCTTGTCTTTGAAAAGRATCAGGAGCTGCAGCCTCCCCTCCCAAGTGAAAGTTCCTTTTACAGCTTTGCCAGAGTTCACAGCTCCAGGCCTCTTTATTTTATTTCCATGGCAGAGAGTTTTCTGTGCACGGGACCTTTGCACATGCTGGAGCCAGGGGATGAGTCCTGGCAATGGCATCACCTGCCAGGCCCTGTGCTGGACTGGTAACTAAAAATCATAGCCTGATGAAGAATTGAAAAACACATGTAAAGGACTCAGAGTGAAATTAAAAGCTTTGATCTGTTTTTTTTTTTGTTTCATCATTATTTCATGTCTAAGTACTTTACTCTCACTCTCAGAAATTCTTATCAAAGACAGGCAGATGTCATTGCCTCCAGGGGTCTCAACTCAGAGCTTTTCAATTTGCATTTACTCCACAAATTTGCCTTCAACACCAGAGACCAATGACATAAAAGAAATGGTGGGGTTTGCTGTGGTRAAGCTGAAATGTAATAGCACTGCAGAGCTGCATGAGGATTTCCAGTGCCCATTAAGTGCTGTTCAACTGTAAATGCAAATAAATCCCTGCACAAATACCACCAAGCTTCTGCATACTKGTAAGATGAATTACTACCAGGTAATACAAACATTTATTTCCATGCCAACCAAGGGGGGGCCTTTGCAGTTCTTACAAAAAAAGTTCCACAAATTAATATCACTTACAGTTCTTAGGTGYCCATCAGGCCACTGTGGAAAAGGAAAAGTTTTTTCCAGGTTGTGTTTGAGTTTCCTTCCTACTCTCCAACCCAGTTCAGGGCACCAGCATAACCCTCAAGGCAGAYCTTTCTCAAGCAGGACTGAAAGAGCATTTGTAGCACCTCACTACAACCTTCCATTGGACCCTGGAATCCTCTGCAACATTCCATACTCTGAAATGTCTGGAATTCAGTGTATTCCATACACTGAAATGGCTTTCCACTATATGCATGGATAAAGACAAAAATCAAACTCTCCAGATTGTGCAAATGAGTATTCCAGCAGAAAAAATACAGAACACCTTTCACACCCCAGCCAATTGGACACAGGATTTACACACTTCTGACAGTCATACCCTTGACTTTGATGGAGATGTTCCTGCCCAAAACAGGGCAYGTTTGCTTCTGACTTCAATTAAAAACACGTTAGAAATGAAGAGGGTATGAACAGGAGCACTACTGGTCAGGAGGGCTTTGACTGAACATGAGTTGCTCACTTCAAAAATTCCAGGTGCTGGCAGTAACAATCCCTCACCTTCTTTCCCCATGTCCCAAAACCCCCATGGCCTCTCMAAAAGTGACAATATTGGCAAACCTACATTTTCCACAGCTGGGAAGACAAACTAGCCAGGAAATGAAAGGGGGAGTGTGTGATTGTGCCATCAATCCCATTACAATTTCAACTTGCTACCTAAGTACACYTTGAGCAAGCGAATAAAGTATCTGGAGCTTCTCTATTATTAGAGAAGTATTATTAGTATCTGGAGTCTTCTCATGGGTGCATGAATATATTAAAGTTTATAAGGCTCTGAGAGATTCGAGTACACCCAGWCAGATCATCTGCACACATGTAAGTGATAGTCATTTATGGAACTTTTTGTAAGAACTGCAAAGGCCCCCCTGGGTTAATGACATTGTTCAATCTTCTTACATTTCTTCACAGATTCAGGGTAGGAAAGAATTCCCTTTCCCTGGTGCTTGTTTCTAGAGGAGTCCTGGTAATTAGACTAATCTTGGGACCAATTTTCAACTCCTAACAGCTCAGTAAACTAAAATGCTTGGCAATTTATTCTCTATAWATTGTCAACTAGGTAACACTTGATTTCTCATTCCATGACAGCATTTTATTGTTTTAAACTGAAATGCAGCATGTGTGTTTTCAACAGATTATCTCCATAATCACTTTTGTTTTGCTATGGAAATTATCTGAAAATTGTTCTTTGATTCGAAAGAAGAGTTCACAAGGCCACACTACAAAAGCTTGAATCATGCAATTACCATTTGTAAAGAGAAACTGTTATCAAAGTAACTGCAGGAGACACCTCCAGGACTCCTCTTAGAGTCAGGAAATTTGAAACATATATTTCTTTTACATGAATTTCACTCCAAACCCTTCTGAATAATTYATGTGAGCTGATTTAATGCCATAGTTAAGTGTGGCACTCAGGACAGAGTTCTGTCAGAGATGGAGGATTTTACCAGGGTGCAGAGTGGGGTCTCATCATGGGATTTGTACCCGGGTGCCTTTAGTTTGGGAGAGCATCAAATGACCCACAGAGGGATTACAGGAGTTACCTTTTAAAGAAAGAAGGCAGCTGGATATGGGAGAACACCATTTTGTTCTTGGTGAGAGGAACTAGAAATCTCTGGAAATGGGAGTTACAAATCACTGAAAGAAGAGCTGGTGTTTGCCATGTGACCAATACTGAAAGAGTCTGATTTTAACTAATTTAACATTAACAAATGCTGGTGGATTGTACTTTTTCTTTGTAAAAGTGAAGGGGTCAGAGACAATTGTGTTCTGTCGACTGCAGCTGGCAAATTCCTGTTGTCTCCCAGTTTAGGATGAGAACTAAATCCCATGGGAGCCCATTCCCTACCTCTGGGGACTTTTTGAGCAAAGCTGACTTCTGTCAACTCAGGATTTCAAACCACTGTGCTAAAGCTGTCCAAGACTCCCATTCCCATTATGCAACAGCCTGCAGACCAAATGCCATTTGATGTTGCTGGATTTTTAAAAGAGGACATGGGGAAACGGGAAACAACCATTTTATAAAACTTACCAGTATTTAATCCTAAGGCACTTTTCCAATGTCAGGGGCTCCTTTATTTTTTTTTACAGGCAGCAAAATTAATGCATATGGATTTTGACCAAGGTCAGAAGGTGGCAAAATACTGTGGTTTTGTAAATTCCCAGAGGCCAAATTCCTCCCCTGTCAACACGGTGCTGAAGCACAGAACCAAGYTGCTCAGCAGTTTGGTTTTTAATACAACAAGGTTAGTTGAGGCTCTTACTCAGATATAAAGCTGATGAGCTGCAATACAAAACTATGATAGTTTCATCCTTGGCATCTCATTTTGCTGAACTGCAACAATACTGAATACTTGTTAATTATTCTCTTTTTATTATGACAGATTTTATATGTAAATGGAAGCCATAGGTGGTTATTACTTACAGATATTCAAAAATTACACGTTGTCCTTAAGACACTTGAGAAACTGGAGAAAACACTCAGCTGTACCATCAGAAGTTGGTCCTAACATATCTTGCTCTAAAGCCTCTGTTTTTCCAATTTTAATCACTGACAATGCTGCAGATGACACCTACTGGGCAAATGAAGGCCTGGCACATCCAGATTCCTCCTGAATACCTGGTTATTTCCAAAGGCAAGAACAAATCCTCTTCACCCTCTGAGATAAGATTTTGTCCCACTCTTTACACAGGCTGACAATTCCCAGCTGCCAAGAGGGAGRACAGAAGCACAAACCCTCAACTCACTCAAACCCGTGGGATAAAAAGTGGCTGTGTTTGCAGAGAAAGTTCTCTTTGAGACTATTACTTTCACTGAAATCTAAATAGTCACTCCATTTCATGAATCCTGTACAGAAGCAGGAAGAACAGAGCATTAGGGAAAACAACACTTACATTTTTTAACACTGGTTCATTTTCTTTTCTACAGGCAACTAAGATGATAACTTGTTTAAAACATGCCATTACCAATTGTCAAACAATGAAATAGCAGAGTGTTAGAGTTCATCAGATAAAGCAATATTAATGGCATAGTTRGAAAGAAAATACTGAAAATTCTCCCTTTATATTGGCTAATTATTTTCGTTGGGACTAACAACAGACTTTCAATGCACATAAATGACATTAGGTATATAATCCAAGTTGTTGTTCTTGCTGCTTTCTAAAGAAACTAATTTGAAATTTCCATCAATTCAATTTGCAAAAGAAGTGCAGCCCAAACACTGGGGGGACTCAGCCTATATTCTCTATTATGCACCCATCAATATAATTCCACTGATTCATATTCCAAGACTTTAGAGGAAAACTCCAAGAATTTAGAGGATTGTTGCTCCTTGTTTGAAYTTACAAGAAAAAACTTCTACACACTTTGCATGTGCAGCTACAATGATTAACTCCATATATATTGGGCTGCACAAACAGTTAGCCATCTGCAAAATTCAAATTACACAGGAAACATTTTATTCTTCATGGTACTTGTCAACCTGATGTGCCACAACTGCCCACACCTTTTTGTGTAAAAGAAGATGCTTAAGTATATGGAAAAMTAGTTTAAAAACATTCATATCTTAAAAACTGATTCCACCTTTATTAACTTAACAAGGTAATTGCTAATAAACTTGTATTCAAATAAAAAGTAGAAAAGAAAAGAAAGAAAAAAAGAAATATGTACATTCAGGAGAGGTCCAGAAATTAACTCTGCCCATGCAGAAAATAATGCCACATAAGAAGTGTCCAGATCCCCAAAGAATCTGGCATGTAGTGTTAAGGGTTTTTCTAACATCCCCGTTTTTGTCAGCTGCTCAAGTTTAGTCAGAGCATTCACTTTGACCTGTTGGTCTTGAAATGTTCATGTTCATGTTTTGCCCATGTGATGGGAATTCAYGGGGCACCAGTCCTCTCCCAACATCTTTGGTATTTGGAAAGATATAGAAACTTCGTGTTGAAAATATTTTTTCCCAGGAGAGCTCTAATTATGAAGGTCCCACCTGAGAGACCTTTCCCTTATTCCATTTTCCTTTCCAAGAGCATCAAGGTAAGATCTCACCAGGCACAGTTCTGGAGTTGAAKATATTTGTGTAGAAATCTATCAGCAGTTCAGTGAAGAGATTCACAGGCACCAGAGCATTAAGGGAGGTGGTTCCTTTGGATGGCCAGATCAAATTCACTCCAAACACACAGGCCAGGCTGGATGCTGTCATTCTGTTATAGATGCTCTCCTGTGAAACCTGGCAAACATAAACATGAATTGCTATATGCAGACAAGAGACAAGAGATGATCATGTATTCATTTTTTAACCTCAGGGCTGACAAAACAGAATAGAGCTATGAGGCCCTACTGGAGGCTGTGTCCTTCAAGTATAACCCAACATCAAGCAAAAAGGCTGAATTTTTCCCTTGTGCTAGAAAATTAATTGTTTTCAATCCTTCTATCATAGAAGCATTTGTTATCTCTACTGGGGCAGAGAAGAACAACAAGAAGAAATTTAATCTGCTTCAGATAAGATGAGCTCAAACAAGAGCTCTATACCACAGCAATGTAGGAAAAGCTAAGCTAGAACCAAAATAACTGATGAGGGAAAACAGTAAGAAAAATGAGTTCCCTGTTAATAAGGAGACACAAAACTCGGCATTTAGGCACAGTACCTAATTAACTTAAACTGTGAATTACAGAGGGTACAAACAGTCAATTACTATTATGTTTTAAAAATACAACATCACTATACGTTTGGTTGCTCAGCTACAATGCTGAAAGGAACTCTGCAAAACACTTCCAAAGAAAATTACTAGATACTTCAACACCCCCACAAACTGACTGAAATTTCAGTTTCTACRCCCACTGTCAGCTATTTTGCAGACAAACCAACTACTTGTTGCACTAAACTACATGAGGTTTAGTCATCTAATCCTCCCCACTCTGCCCCATAATCTCCAGCCAACCCCAAGCTCTACTGAAGGTAATTACACTTTKCCATTGGATGAGTGGTTGAGACAAAACATTCATTCAGAGCAATTTTTTCCACCCTGAATTTGGTTTTAAATTTGCTCCCTGTTGTAAATCTGAAGCACAGCTCATGGGTCCCAAACCTTGTCAACATTTTCTAGCTGGTTCAGGTTTGACAATTTGAATTTGCAAGTTTTTGCAATGGTTCTTTCAGGAAAGTCATCCACCCTTCCCCCTCATCAAGCCTGACTGCAGGGACAGAAATGAGCAGCAGGTAGGGAAAATGTAACCCTCTTCAGACTCTCCTGCTTCTTTAGCCTTAAACTGTCCCAAAAAAATACAATTATAGTTTTCTACTAAATGGTTTCTGCCTTCAGAATGGGGTACCTGCAGCCCTCAGAGTGTTTTGCCAAGTAATCCCCAAGAAGAAGGCTTTGCAGCAAGGGGGACTGCAGAGAAAATAGGGATTTTTTTTCTTCTTTTTTTTTCTTCTTTTTTTTTTCTTCTTTTTTTTTCTTCTTTTTTTTTCTTCTGTATCAAACTTGGAGTGTTCAAAACCTGTACCTAGTGATTACCATTCATCCCACTTCATGAAATTGCTACAAGTACCTCTTGCACTACTCAAGATTTAACTCATGAAAGAATTAAATTGTCTCTTATACATAAGCCAGAAGGTTGATGATGGCTGCTAAAAACTAGGATTATTGTTAAACTGTTCAAGTTTGAATTGTGGAAGCTTGTTCAGCACACCAATCTGCAATGACTAGAAAGCTCAAACTCTGAGATTGTTTCATGTTYCTTTGACCTTTCCAAATGCAAATATACCCTGAGACATTAAGGAAGAAAAGCCATGGATCAGCAAAAATTGCAGATCCGAGCACTAGCATCACTTGATGCTGTGCTTGACATAACTACTATAAAATAATGCCATATTCTGTTCCCAATTACAGAAAATATTGTGTGGCACTTTTGCACACCTCATTAATGCATCAAGTGCTCAGCTCTTAAAAAGTGCATTAAGATGATGCATCTATTACTGGAACAAAGTCACTTACACGATTCATAACACTGAGGAGAGATTCCAATTGCTAAAATAATTGCAAATGACACGAGGATTTCCTTAACAGCTTTAGAGTTCAGCTAAGCAACAGTAAATGAACACGTGAGTATTACAGGAATTGCTGTCTGAGGGTTGTATTGATGTGTTTATCCTTTGATCGTGCTTTTCTCTAATGTTTTGACAGAAAAAGGGATTAAATGCACTGATTTCTGAAATACACTGCTGGCTAGAATATGGCAAACAGGATAAGGTAGGAGGAAGGGAAATGTACAGTGCTGTGATTGTTTTTTTTCTGCACATTCAAGGATTCTGAATGTAGAACTCTTCAGAAGTGGATGTTGCCCAAACCCTCCCACTCCTGTGTTTGCCAGAAATGGGTTAATAGAAATCAGCAAATCGAAAAGTAGGACAGAAGATACATGATTTAATTCATCCTGAAACAAAAAATCCTTGCAAAATCCTTGCATTCCAAGTTTTTCATTTAACACTAGTAATGAATGGCTATTTTAAACAGGAAAATGCTATTTTAAAGATTTAATATTAAATATTTTGCTGATGGTTGTTCTAAAGYTTACTAATATTTATCTAATTTTCTAAAATAATCCTAATTTATTTGGTGTTTTASATGCTCAAAACTTGTAGTTCAAGGAAAACAGGTGATTTCACCTGCACATTCTCCAGCACCTAAAATTACAATCACTATTTCTATGCTTTTTTTTTCATTCCAAAACAGGCAAAAAACCACCACAAAACTAAATCAATAAAAAAAACATTGCGAATGCGGAGTGGAGGAACAGAACGTGTAAATATACCACTGCTGGCTCAGTTCATTTAAATGTGCACAGTAATTTTCATCTAAAGAATTTCATTTAAATGTGCACAGTAATTTTCATCTAAAGAATTTCATGGTGAACCAATGGTCAGACCAAAGCTTAGCACTCACTCCTATCACAACTGGAGGGTTCTGCACCCCAAGTTCAGTCTATAAGTACTGCAGAGCCACTTCATCACACTATTTAAACTATTCACTTTTCTGTGGAGATGTTAAATTTTGAATTTACAAGAGCAGAATTAGAAATAAAAGCTATTTTGGGAGTTTTGTCCATACTCACCATATGGAGAAAGCATATCAGATATTTCAGAACAAYGTAATTGTGCTCAGGAAGTCCTTGAATGATTTCTTTGCATCTGGTGACTCGTAAGCAGCTCTCAACACCTGCAATGTCCAAGTCATTCTTAASTCTGAAGCATCAAAATATTATCAAGAAATAATACCAGCAAACTTTGTAAAAAGCCAAGAGGGTTTTGGCAACCCTGACTGCAATCCACGGCTGCAGCAAAGCATTAATAAAATAATATATACAAATATATATATAATGATATTGTAAACCCACAGATGCCCCTTGGTTAGCAAACAAAAAGCAGTAATTTTGAATKAGCCAGGTGCTAATTAAAAATAAATTCTTCTTAACATACTCACTGGTGATCCCAAGGATATGATCATAASAGTCAAATGTCAGTAATGGCTGAGGGAGTTCCCTAAGGAAAGTCTTCAGGATAACAGCAGSAACATGGATATCATTATAATCATCAAAATTCACAGACTTGCCTAAAATGAGAAAAAAATTTAAAAAAGAGTGTTCAAATTACATGTTTTGCTTTTTGTTTAAAATGCTGCTTGAAAACTGTTTCATACAATGTTTTGAACAGAAAATCCCTTGGCTTTCTGCGGCTGGTAACTCCTGCTATTTTGGTTTTGCACTTTTCATTTGCACAGAGTTTTGTGAATTTTGCTCTAAGAGGTTCTTCCCATAAASGCAGTTCAYAAAATGACATCACAGGGAAATCACTGACTTKCAAAATTACTTCTCTACATTCCATAAATTATTAGGAAAAATCWTATTTCTTTGCCATAAATGGATGCAAGATGACACAGAGACTCTGTAACTACARTAAAGTGCTTAGACTCAAAAAATATTTATGAAAAATATGCTATTTTAGGCTCAAACTWCAGTAGTTGTTACTGATGTGACATCAAGAGATGACTTGCTATTCAATAAACATTAGGTGTCTTTTGCTACCYCTCACGTTTCTGAGAGTACTGGTACTCTTATTATTTTATGTTACAAATGGCTTTAATTAATAGTAAGAAATTGCATTTCTGCTTCACCATCAAAACCAGGATTTTTTGGTTAAAAAATTACTCACATTACTACTGGCAAGGCTATGACAACAGCTTACCCTGATTGTAGAGTTTCTGCACATCTTTGATAATCTGGATGCTGGCTGACCTCCTGAAGAGACCCTCTACTTTTAGTCCTGAAAAAAAAAAATTAAACAACTATAGAACAGATTTTTTAAAACTCTGTTTTAAGGTATTTTGGTGAAGACCATTGGTCCTTCCACCTCTCTGGAAGTCAGTGGGACTCATCACTCTGCCTGTCCATGGTACTTTGAAATACCTGTTTCTATTCTTGAGGCACTTCAGAATTATTAGTCATGAATTTCCTGAAAAGTGTCTATCTCACATTGTGGATTAACTGAAATCTGAGTTCATCTAGACAAGAAAAATGTCAAARAAGGATGTCATTTGGACCTCAATTTTCAAGGTAAGTTATTTATGTGAATTATTATGCAAAGAGTATAGGTGCAATAATTTCTACTTTTCTTAAGACTCGTGGTAGTATTTCATTATTGAGTTTGGTAAAACTCTCATTTCCCTCTCCCTTTCCTTCTTTGCAGTTTGTGCTGTTCCTCACACCCAGCAGGTAATGTAATTTCACTCACAGGTTCTCTGAACTGGAAATTCCTACTGGAARCAGAATAACCTAAAATATTAGCCTGTGCTGGTCTGACAAAACATAAAATTGGAGTTTTGGGTAGGCTGGCAGAGTACCCACTACTCAGACTGAAACGTTTGAGAATTTCAATAAAAGCACACATGGGTTTGTTTGCATGATTTAGAATTTTTACAATGTTCTAGAAAAACTGAGTCATTTATTAATGAAGGATGCTCAACCATTCTTGCAAATTCACCCAGGTTGCAGCTGTATTTTATCCATGAAAAATCAGTAAATAATAACAAAATTCCTTAATGAACAAATCATTTAGTATCATTCACATGAATTTAGGTCAGTATACTAAMAGAACAGATAACACACCATTGAAGTACATTTTCACAGACAATTTCAGAGATTTTTGCCAAAAATCTCAAGCTCTACTTGAAAGAGATCCACTGACTAGATTTAGAGGTTTGGCTGGAGTTCAGCTGAATACAGCTCCTAGTTACTTCCTAGGAATATTTCCCCTTGCCTGTTGAAATGARTATTAAAATTTTAGCCCATGCATTCAGTTCTGGAAGGTGCATGACATCTCAAACTACAATATCTAAGCTTTTTTGACATGTGTGGTTACTAAAGGAACCAAATAACAATGATACATTTGACCCCTCTCCTTCAGATTGTGTTTCAGTTAAATAAAGTCACAGCAAATAACATCACTGCAGTAAAACTCTTCCATTGGATTTAYAGTAAACCTATCTAAAAACACATTTTGGGACGTGGCAGCTGGGAAGTGCTTGCTTGTCAAGGAGCTGTCCCCAGCAAACAAGAAATACARTAATTTCCAGAGAATTTGTGGAATTTTATGCTGGTTGTCAGTGGAATAGAGGTGCTCTGTACAAAAAAACTTTCAGAAAATGGATATCCATAAATGCTTCCAATTCAGTTTGCAGGAATTGGTTTAATAATTAATGTTTTTATCTGATGTGAATCTCGCTGTAAGGACTACAATGTAATAAATATCAATTTTTTAACAGGTTTATGCCTTTATTGGCTAAGCTTTCAAGAGTCTAATTAAAGACATTTATCTGTAACACAGACAACAGCTGTACTTGTCTGGCCCTGCATCCCATCAGTGTCACATAACACTAAGCTCTTCCTGGTTATGTTTTTGAAACATAAACCAACTTTTTGGTTGAAAACCAACTTTTATCTTCATCTGCAAAAAGCTGGGATAAGGCAGGATCTGTGMTTCTTCCAGAACTCGTTTAGCAGGTCAGCTACCACTGAATCAACAACCAAAGTAAATATCCCCACTGCTTTTTACATTTGTGGGCAACTCAGCCAAATGACAGGACASATAATAAAGTGTATTAGAGAACAAGAAAAAGCCATATTCTCCTTCTGTAGTAAATTAGAGCAATTCTAGAGAATACAGAGTTCCAACTTCAGTCCGTGTTACAAAGAAATATGAACTGGGATTACATCAGTTGAAATGGACACTGCTTTAGAAGTTTGTAAATCTATTAATTGCTGTCTGTGTTTAGGCTGGGCAGGGGAAAACTACCTCAATCCATGATTTCAGAGATGGTATTTCCCATTTCACACAACCTGAACAGCATCAGCGTGTGCCTCCAATAAGGGAAGAAAGAAATGGACCTGATGCTTCTCATTGAATATTCCACTGAGATGGGTAAATACACATTTACAGCCTCACACAGCCTGGAAATACCTTCTCCAATCCTGAATCCTCCTTTTCAGGCACTGGGGGGAAGGCAYCCCAGATATTGCAATTACCATAATTAACCCAGCACAAGCTACGCACACTAAAATAAAATTAATCACTGTKTTTTTCATTTTTAAAGACAAAATACATGCCAGAGCCACCTGAGTTATAGGATAAGAAAACAAAATTGACTGAAGGCAATGTTGATCATTGCAGCTCAAAGCACTCATTTTTATCCAATTGAGAAATAATTTTGAAGCAGTCTGTTTAATTTTTGTTAGCTGTGTTCTTTGATCAAATCCTGTTTAGAGCATGACTCCTTGCAGCTGTCTCTATAAAAAGAGGGTGGGTTTTTTTTTCTGTGTGTACAAATTGAGCTATTTTGCCATGAATAACACAGTCCATATGGAATACCCACCCTGGAGATGTGAACCTGGACTACCCAGTTCTGATGAACACTGCATGTCACTCATTTTTATCACCACTGTGAGGTAATGCAGCACAAACTGCTCCATGCCCTTCACCAGAAAAAAATAGAGACTTTTGCTACCCTCCCCTGAACTCCTCAGATCAAAAAGAGTGAAMATTTATTCTAAATATTAAGTGCTATACAATAAAATATAGTATATGACTAGTGAAGAAGCCATCTATAGTCAATAAAAAGTGATGATGCGATACAACTGAGTAATTATTTAAATGCCAATAATCACAAATGAAAACAGGCAAGCACTTCATTCCACACTGAAATAAGAAGCCTTTCACCAGAGTAGACAAAATTTCACTGTGCCATGACACAACTGTGTCACACTCTGCATTAATAAACTGTAGCTAAAAATACTTAGTCCCCCTCCTACTTGCCCCCATCAGTTGTCCCACAGGAAAGACACAGATAATCAAAACTGATAAAGATAAATTAAAGCAACACATGCTGTCACATTGCTGGAAACCTGTCAAAGAAAGACRAGAAAATTACATTCTTTATCTTTCAATCATCCTTCATTTGAGGGTTGCTGGCACCAAAAACCTTTGTTAATTTGTCTGCTTTCAGAAAAGAAATGGCAGAGTGAGCATTTGAATTCCTTCTGTCCCAAACTGAGTTTGGAAATGTTTCTTACAACTGGCATCCTGCTGAGCCTTCCAGATTTGGAAGTGGTTTTCATTCTCACTAACACTGGTCTAAACCAAGATATCTTCTTTCAGATTTCCTAATTATAGTAAGATTCATTTTTTAATATCAGAATTAATGTATTTTGGATAGAAGGACTGCTGAGTTTATAGCAGAATCCAAAGTATATTTGTGTCCTTGCAGTTTTGAACTGCATAGTCTATAGCCTTTGCAAGTATGAATGAACATTCTCAGTTTACACTTGGCATCTCTGAGAATGATTTACTTGTAATGCYTGAGCACCAAAAATACAAACTGTGCTCATTACAAAGTTCATTTTTATTTGGTGGAACATGAGACATTCTTGGGATTTATCTCATCTCCATGAACCCTGTGTAAAAAACATCCACGTGAAAAAAAAAGAGCCAAGAACTAATGACTAATGTCAAACTTTCCCAGGGTTGCCTTTTTAAATGGTATTTTATTGATCACAAGAAGTGGAGGCCAGGCAGGAAAGCTGCAGCAATCCAAACATATTCTGAACACATAACCACCCATCTTTCCCCATTCTGACTACCACCACCAGGATGTATTCATTCACATTAAAAAATGGAGCCAAAACTTTCTCCATCAGCAAGATTTGTTGTGATTCATGGAAGGGAGGAGGAGGAAAGATTAATCCTGTTTACCACTTTATCCTTCTGTTGAACAGATAAAGGACAGCTTTAGTTGTCACTATAACCATGCAATAGGACATTTATTACTTTATCATTAAACTTCTATTGCATGGTTATTACTATTCCATTTAGAAGTTTTGATTCATCACCCAGGACTCTCCTGAGGTACCACAAGACAACAGAAAACAAAAACTTTGATGCTGCAAAGCACTTCCAGTCTACAAAATAGGTGGGGTAAGAAAGACTTGGCCCTGGGGGCCACTGTGAGATAATTTTCCTATAGGGACCAGTTTTCTTTCCTGCTTCACAATTCCCTAGTTTAATTTTTTTCACTGTGAGTTTATTGTTCCATCACTTCTGAGCTGCTGCTGATCTCACATGAGCTCTTTAGTGATCAGTTCTCTATGCAATTTTCCTGCAGCTGGCCACTCCATAGAATGTAAATGCTTTCAAATTTTGTAAATTTTGGTTTATTTTGGCCAGCTTTATTTTCAAATTTTTAAAGCATGAATAAACATGTTGTTTATACCTTTGATGATGCTCTCTAAAACATAAAATACATTAACAATAATAATACAATCTATTTCAAAGTTGTATTTTGCATAACACCAACACAAATGAGAGTGCATTAATGTCTCAAATAGGTTTGAGTGACATTCCTGTCCTTTGTAATCTATTTGACATCTTCATGCAGGTCTGAATAACACAATTTATACATGCATTGAATCAAATAAAAATTCCCCCAAAAGCTGATGCCTGACCCCCAGATGTTGGGGAGTTTGCAAACAAAATATGGATTTTGTCATGCAGTTTTATCCTCCATAGCATGGCCTTACTCATACACACACAAAAAAAAAAAAAAATCTTATTCAGTGCAAGTCAAGCCTTGCATTTATAAACTAGACAGTTTTGAAGCTCTGCATAGGAAAAAAAAAAATCCTCTGCTTTGCTGGTTATTATGAAGATCAAGTTACATTGGTGCTGTTAAACCTGCTTGGCCTGACTAAATCATCACATGGGTTCAGGATGATACCACACCTTCTTTCTGAAATTAAGAGCTCTTCTCTAGTTTGGTCCAGGAAATGAACTCAGAGAGTTAGTTTTAATAAACTGATGATTTTTTTTTTTTTTCAGATACTCAGAATTCATTTTAGGAAACCAATTCTCTATGAAGGTTACAAAAACCTAAATCAGGCATTTTAAATTTCAGTATATTAAAAACATTTTTCACTCTGAAGTGGAGCTGGAATGAAAGTGGTGAAATGGCTTCTGCTGAAGAAACAAGATTTTGCAGAAGTTTCTGTGATCTAACTCAGAGCTCCCAAACCTGATTTCAAGTGCACAGATGAGAAAATGTAGCAACAGAAGAAAGAGTGGAACTACTGCACCTTGGGTGAAAACCAAATCCCACTCCCTTCTAATTCTGCAAGGCTGAAAACTCTGCCAAAATCAAATGAAACAGGGCAATGACAGTGAATTTTTGTCACTTCCAGAAGACAAAGTGAAGCTTTCACTGTGCTCACGGCCACGTCTGGAGTGCAAAGAATGCTGCCAGTCACCTTCCCAGGGCTGTCAGCACCCACAGGGCTGGCACTTGCTGGAGATGCACAACTGAGATATTCCAGTTGATAGAAAGTTCAAATCAAAGCAGACAGCAGGTACAACAGATACCTGCACACTTACAATCAAGTGGAAAAAAATGCATGTCTGTCACTTAGACTTAACAGTCTTGGCATGGCAGGTGCTTGGCTTTCAAGCACCAGCATCAGCTGGCTGAGAATGTCAAAAAACACTCCACCTGACAAGGCATCTCTCTTTAGAAATCTCCTTATGATAGGGGATATGACAGCTCTGAGCAAACCTGGGCTTGGCTGGAAAACAGCAACGTTGGCASAGCCCTGAACCCTTCCTGAGGGAACAAAAGGATTGAGAGCTGGGGAAAAAATGTGACATTTCAGCTAAAAAGTGCCTGGACTGGACTGTGTATTGGTGGGCAGCACGACCATGCCACTGACTTGTGAAGATGCACAAAGATGGAAATCTCTTCACGTCGGAGCTCATCCCTTACAATGCTGATACTACAATGAACACAGGAAATTTGAGCCAAAAGTGGACAAGGTTTGGAGAAAAGTCAARGAGGATTACTGCTTTCAGAATGACAAATATTTCATCTAGGAGAAATTCAGACAAAGATGAGCCAACCCCAGGTTTTTTAACCGTAACCATCATAACTTGCTATTTTTTCCCCCTCCTGCACATTCRGTGTTGCTGCTTCAGAAAACTGTGGGTATCTGAGCTGWCTCAGCAATTGTTAAGGGAGAAGARTATTAAATTGGTGTAGCAGTGATGAGACAAAACACACAGAAAGAACAAATGCAGGATATACAGCTTTTGTGTCAGATCAGGGCAAGAATAATTAGTTACTGGTCGCTAACACAAATAATGATGGCCACAAATCTGCTATTTCTTTAAAATCTTTAAATCAGCCCAAGAAAGYACCAGATATGCAAAGTCTTCCTCCTATGCACAGGCAAAAGTTTAATTTAATAAACCTTTTAGTGGTTATATTCTCAATTTCTAAGCAGTAAGAGCTGTAAGAGGTAATAATGTTGGTGCCACACTCATCCTCATTTTAGCTCTCTTGACTCCTGTGATTAGCAAGGAAGAAGGATTTGCCTATTAAGATAAGCTAAGTGTATGGAAGGATGATAATTTCATAACAATTTAAAACACAAAAAAATCTGGCTTTCATCTGCTGACAGGGCATGCACTGACACACTACATAAGCTCTAATTATCCACTTAAGACTATAATTACAGGAATGCCATTCACTTGCATTCAACATTCCTAATAATGAAATATTTACATTCCCTGTGTTCAACCACAACATTTGGTACAAGCTACACCTGCAAAGTTTTCATGATCAGCACATAAATGATCAGTTATTTAATGTTCTTATTTACCTTGAGATAAAMTAAAATACAAAAGAGCATAGCCTAGCAATGAGGGCAAATGTCAATCCAGTCTGTCCTCAATTAAATAAATAATATCTTGGACTGATCTAAATRAAGTCAGGATTTCTCTTGAAAATCAGCAAAAAAGATGAAAGGCGATGCTTTTCTTGCCTGCCTCCTTCTGTCTTCACAATTGTGAAGCCTATTCATTGCAAGTTTTTAAAAAAGTTTGCAATTTATCACTTAGGGTTCAAATAAACTCAAACTCAGACCAAACTCTGGTGGAAATAGTTAAAATGAACCCATACTATGACACACACTGAACACTGAAAGCAAAATTTAACTTGTTCAGAATGACAGCTGAAGGATGTAAATTAAGAATTAGGAATCTTCTGGGATACAGGTTTCTTTTTACAGAAGAATATAATTTATTCAAAATTTACATTTTATATAATTTGTATGCTGTCAATATAAATAGCTCTTTAAATSATGAAAATTTCAGATTAAACTCAAGTTGCAACAAAGAGATCTGAATCCTGTTTTTGCATTAAAAATCATGYTGATCCTCCAAATTTGATCTAACCTTAACCAAACCAGTGATGATTCTTCTTTAGTTGTTTTGTTTTTTAATAACTGAACAAAAAACATTCTGATTTTCTTCACATGACACACCTTTAAAAAATGCACATCCTTTCTTCAGAAGGGATCTCATGGTAGCACCCAATTGCTATTCCAATTCTCAGGACATAAACATATCCTGTGTAGTTGTAATCTGTGCCGAGCCAAGCACTGAGTGTTAAATAGTTTCATACTGTTGTTGTTGTCCAGAAAAACGAATCCTCTTTTGACACAGAACTCACCTTTATTTTTTAGATAGGATACAGTTTCCTTCATTACTGGGGGGAGTAGCTCGCCTTTGTTTTTGTCCTTGATACTGTCACGGAGGAAAAAAAAAAAAAAAAAGAAAAAGTAACATCCTGTAAATGGCATTTATAGGCTAAAATTCAAAGGTAAAACAAAACAGTCTGAGCAAAAAACTTTGAGAAATCTGACAGCTTTTATTTTTTTAATCTAGACAGAATAGAAAATTCTGTAATTAGCCTCCTTATTTAAAAAAAAAATAGTTTTGGCAGTTTGGCAAAAGTTACAGTCAGTATCTGCTGAGCATTGTGCTACACTCTATAGTAACCAACAACAAAATAACAGACCAGCCTCAGATTTTAAAGTAGACTTAGTTCTACCAGCTGAAGTTTTACCTTCAGAAGAGAATGATTCTTAAGACCTTTTTCTTTTCCAGGTACTGTGATTTCTTCTCTTTCTGTCTAGGCTTAGTTATTTATCAGTAGAAACTAACTGATAGTAACTGGAGTTATATTTGACATAACTTCTGTAACACCACTGCATGGAAAGAGCAATCCACTATTACATTTTGTGTTTACACTACACATAAAAACTGCTTCAAAAGGAATTTCCAGCAACATGAGTCAGCATGGAGGGATAAGGAAATTGCCAAATCTCTGCCCCCCCATTTGTTTTCCCTATGCTTGCCAAGGGAGTTAGAAGATGTTAACTCCACTTTCCTTACAGAGTATTTTCATTTTCTCACCACTTTATCTCATATTTCCTCATAAGATAAGGAGCAGCTCATAACTAATCATCATCTAAATGCTAATTAGYGCACCAGCATACCAAAGGCAAGAGWAAACTGAATTCCTGCTASMRTTTCTATSCTTTCAAGCAACGATTTTTAACAGTTTGCAGTGTTTGGGAGAGCTCTACTCCTCTGTCAAGTTTGGTTGACATAAGCCCAAAGCTCTTCTGCGAGCCTTAGTAAAAATCAATCCTGATTTTTTTTTCCAACTGACTGCTATTTTTCAACAAAAGACCCATACCAGAATCCAAAGCATATAAAATTCAATAATGCTCTAYTTGTGGGTTAATACCACTTTGTGGAAATTGCTCTATCTACACGTAACATGAACTGTTTAGGAARGGGGAATTTTCATTGCTGTAAACATAGAAATTTTGCTTAAAGAATATAGTCAAATTTCACAAAGCATGTTCACAATKTGACAATCTCAGATATTTAGCCAAATAAATTCTAGAATGCGTGCAACACTCTTGTAGGAAAGAGAAGACTAACAGCAAGGAATTAATTTACTTCAGATAATCCTAAACTATGTTCTTTTATACATTACAAAACCCCATTATTTGCTGCTGCTTGCAAGTATGATTTTTAAATGAAACTGTCCAACTTCTTCTTCCTACACATTGGCAAGGAACCATTAATTTTAATACAAAAGAGTACAGGGCCTGCTGGAGCAATGATTCTGTGCAGCATCACAATGACATGATAATGGCCAGAAGAAACATTTATGACCTGACTTGTAAGATCAAGTCCTAACTCAATGTTTCCCCACTATCAGAGACCTCTGAGAGCTAAASCAAAATCTATGAGTGCTCCATGAAAAAACTCACTCCTGAGAGGAGCTCCCACCACCAGGAGCAAGCTCCTGATCTTGTCTTCAGAGCAGCAACACAGAACAAAACACGCAGTGACAGTGCAGTTCCATTAATTAGTCTTRCTAATAAACCACACCAGGAAGGAAGTTTTAGGGTTTTTTTGCACAGCAAGCAAAGWTCAAATCCCCAGTGAAATTGTATCTCTTAGTAAGGGCCTAAAGAAGAAAAGRGGTGGGAGATGAGATCAGTACCGAGGCCAACATTCCAAACGCCAGTTAGGAAAAGCAAATCAAAGTAARGGTTAAAAAAAGCACATTATTTTAGCTTTTCTAATAGGGGAGTTCTAACATATTCCTTGTGTGTCAAATGATTTTATTTCAYGTATTTAAATCAGTACCCTAAACACTTAGGGCAGCTTTTATTAAAATTAGTCAAAAGCCTAACTTACTTAAATGGGAGCATCAGCAAGAGTTTAATGTGCTTGGAAGCTGTTACATCTTTATTATTGACAATTTAAGCTCATAGAACCCATTCTCAGCCTCTCTAAAGTTGCACTGATTGCATTTGCTTTCTTACAGCTGCTCACTCCAGAGGCAACAAATAGCAACCCAGCAGCTTTTTTTAAACGTTCTCTAATTATTATTGTTACCCATAAATGTGTTTCCTATTTCAGTGTATAAATAGCAAACTGATTATTTACAGCACTTGCTCCTGTTGAGAAATAGCACATCAGTCAGAGAGGTAAGACAAATAACTCGGCTATAATTTGTAATAATAACCCCTACACATCACATTTCTTTTTTTCTGGAAAAACAGAACAGTTATACAGTTTCTGCACTCCTACCATTTTCTGATTTACAAGTTGCAGAGGATTTGTTTTTTTTGTAATTTTAAGTGGTGATGCCACACCACCACTTCTGCAAGAATGAATAAAACACGACATAAACATTGTCCTTCTTAATCACCCAGTAGAGCCCACCTAAAATAAAACCTATTCTCTGAATTAGGGAAGTAAGTTAGCCATGTTTCAAGTATTAGGCCAAACTCTAAAGAGTTTGTAAACATAAAAGTTAATCTCATAGTAGCTCTTACACAATAGACAYTGATTGTACTAATTTCAGGCCTTCTAGAAAGGACTAGTGCTTAACACTGAACCAGAGAAAAATTCTATTTTGTATCTCATTTACAGCTGAATCATTAGACCCAGAGAAGTAGAGTATGGGTAGAAGGAGGTTTGACAAAAGTCCATGTACCAGACAGCCTAAACTGCCTTTGCTGAATGTGAACAATATTCTTCAGCTGTTTTTGAGAAGAATAGAAAGATGACAGAAATTACTGTGGGTTGCARACTAGAAGGTTTTGTAGTATTTTTGTTGTTTAGTTTACTGAAATTGAATCTTGCAAGTCCTATTGCCATCCCGTTCCTYGTGTAAAGTAAGCAATATTTTACACCACATACAGTGCTGCAATASATGCTAACAGCTTTCAGGGCATTTCTGGAAGGGAATGGTTTTATTAATTTCATAAAACATTCACTGTCTGGTGAATATGCACATTACAAAATGCAGAAAGGGTATAGAAATCTCATATTTTAGGAATCTCATGGCTTACTATTGCAGGCTGACTCCAAATTGCTGGGTAGGCAGAGGTGGCCGTGGTGGAGGAACCTTAACCACAGGTGGAAGTTTTCCCTTCTGTTTCCTCCGAAGATTTTCATCATGGCTGAAAAAAAAAATAAATCAAGATTTCATTGATTTTCTGTGCACTTCAGATGACAGACTGTATATGTGAACAGCTGCAAGTATTGCTGATGTCCTGACAATAGTGTAACTCTTAATTTCAGCAAGAGTTAATTTTTAAATAGTATTGRTGGTGGGATAYTTAAGCAAGACATAGAAGAGCCTTYTGCTTCAGCCAGTGGAGCACAGTAATGTGTCCAAAAAATAGAATCACACTATATTTTAATAGCAAAATTCAAACTGATTTGCTACTCAAAACACAACTCTCTTTTCATTGGCAATCCATGCAATCCAATTTATAACCTCAGAGCTCTAAGGTATATTCTGTTATCCCATATTTACAAAAGAGGTRTGTAAAAAGCCACCAGGCATCAATAACAGTCAAAATCAAAGCTTCCAGTTACTTTCATTCAGCAGTGACATAAAATCACTTTCTGTCAGTGCATCAAAGCATTTTCATGCAAAGCACCATGTTAGAATGACTGTTACTGATACCAACACTGGTGCTTGACTGTACCAGCCCTGTGCAGTTCTTTTCMTTTTCATYTCATTTTTTTTCTTTTYCTTTTCATCTCCCAYCCACCCTCCAACACTTCTCCTTAACACACAAACACACACCACATAAACATAATGGCTCCACTAACAATAAATACAACCATTAAGTTTAAAATCAATCAACACTTGGCTGACTGGGAATGCTCTTCATGAAAGGAAGTAATTTAATCTGTTGCAATATGTAAGGAAAGAGGTCAGGATTACAATTTTGCTCAAGCAAATTACATGATACTCATAAGCAGCAATGACACATAGATTGGTTTTGCTGACACTCACACAGAAGAACCAATCATATTAAGAAAATGCTCCAAGACAGATGGAGTTTTTCCAAATCTGTAGAAAATTCAACACCTCATACAATTCATCATATCTATGATGGCAATGCAGCTTTCAGAATTAATCCAACCAAACACAAACAGGGAAATTACACTTTCCATCACTGAAGAAATAGTTTTTTCTTGGAATACAGTGACTTTTTTCTCTACCTGAGAAAAAAGTGAGACAAGGTATATTATATTTGCCACATACCAGATGACTTCTTGAGGGATATTTAACTGGTCATATTTGAGGTGTTCTCCCAGGTCACTTAAATAGTTCAAGTAGGTGATCTTTTTCCCAAACTTGTGGCTGAAAAAACAAATTTAAAAATCACAAAGAAGTATAAAAATCAGCATGGGAGGAACATTTATAAAGGGTTTAGTTTCTCTTACAAAAATGTAAGTGCCGATGCACTTACAAAAATTAGACTGTAATTGAAGCAGCAGGAGACATAAGATGTATTTGATTTCATATGATCAAACATATACAGTGAATGCCTCGGAGTCTGATTTGAATAAAAATAACTGACTTCCATCTGAATGTTTTGTGATTTGCATAGATATGAAAAACATGGCTTTAAAAGGCACTGAAAAGTAGGTTTCACACAGCATTAGAAAGCTCACTAAAACYACTGTGAACCTTGGAGAGAATGTTACCCACCAACAGAACAAAATGCTTGTATTATGTAGGTATTCCACTCTGCAAAAAGAAAAAATAATGGACTGTAGAAATAAACTATCATGTAGTTAAGCAAGGCAAATTTTTCAAAGTATTAATAGTGTGTATCTTTGAAGCACTGGGCCATCAGCTTTAGCCCTTTTGAAAAGGGCTGGATAGCTTCTAGGAAACACCAGGAATGTTTTTTTTTTTCTACAAGCTGCACAAAACAGACTTCTAAACTTGAAGCCCCAGGTATCATTAATTAGATGTTGAGTTTTAGCCAGAATACACGACTATACAGGCTGAAGCATTCAAACAAAGGTCAGGGACATGTTTTACACATATGATTTGAAATGCCTTATTTTTCCACAACACGAAATATCTGGACTGTATTGAAGTATCAAGAAAAATAAAAGGTGCTGATGATAAAARCTGTACTTTGCTGTAACTCAGTTTCATAGTAAAAATCGGGAAAAAATGGCATGAATGAGTTTATTCCCGGGTTCTCCAATCCATATGCACACGCTCCCTCTGGCGGTATTTGGGACAAACAGTCACTTCCATGAATTCCTTTAACAGGAATTTTGGGATACATGAGGAATATTATTGCACCTGCACAATTTCAGAGTGTCTTTTATCCAGAAGGGATAAAACTTCCAATATCTTCTCTAAGCACACAACTCTGTAATTAATCACCTCTGGAAATATAGGACATGACACAAAAATCACAATATTTAAAGAAGTCGTGGGCAATTAGGAATTAGTGCTGCTCCCTAAAAATGCCACATCAACACTGATGCCTAAATGTATATTATTTTCATAACAGGTTTAACAGAGAAAATACTCTTGACTTAACAYGTTACCCTCTTGCTCGTTTCTTTTGGGATTGGAAAGATCAATCAATTTTAGGAACTTAAAAAATTTCAGGTATTTACCACTCCTTAAATACTATCAAATAAAAGTATGCTAAAATACTTACTAATTTTGTCCTTCACTCTAATAATTCTGTCATTTGTTAGCAAATTCTGTCCAGTTGTTAGCAAATACATTTTCATGTAAAAGTACTTAGGCCATGTGCTAACAGGTATTAAATGTACTAATACACCACTGAAAAATAAATACAAGCCTCAAAATAATRAAATCTATCTTACATCTTCCATTTTTATTGGCAACACCACGTACAAATGAGTCTGGGCTATAATTCAGCAAAGTTAGGAAAGTCTAGRGGATGCCCATCAAGAATTTTTCTGGGTTTATTGTTTATTATTTTGTTTTGTTTCGGTTTTTTTTTCCTATAAAGTTTCCATAACCATCCTAAAGCAAATCAGAAATAGACAAACCAACAACAAAAATAAATCCATCTTCATTCCTGAGACACCATCAGGTACTGCACATCCTGTTTCTGTCACACTTTTCCCAGCACTGCTCTGTCCAGGATCACTGACATTTACTTTACTGCCAGTTACAATTAARATCTAGTTTTGTTTCAAGAACAGCATCTTCTGGAATGATTTTTAGCTCTAATTACTGTTWAAAAAAATTTCACATGTGCCTTAGCTGTCCTGATCAGTCTAGAAGTTAAATTTCCCTTTTCTAATTAATTACCTTTCTAGCACACAGAAACTGAATCAATTGAGAGTTTCTGTAGTGAACATTTTTCCTTGGTTCATTACAGCTTCTCAAGATTAACTGTTTCCATTCTGCAGCCCCAAGGACATTCATAATATGATCTGCAAAACGTCAGAATTTCTTTGAAGGTGACAAAAGATCAGAAGCAGAAGCTGAGCAAGTCCCACCATTCTCCCAGTTAGCAGTGTCTGCCTGTTCCTGTTGGTTCCTTGAAGACAGCACCAACTTTTACCAAGGAACACATGGTAAAATACATCACCTTCACCATTATATCCCCCTTTTCAAATCCCTACAGGCACTTCAGGRATGATCCATTAACTTTGTGAACATAAGCAGCATCATTCCCATCCATCCCAACACTCCAGATCAGCCTGAAGGTAAACCATTCATCATCCACTTCCCTGTACCACCCAGTAACTCCAGTCAAGCACCCAGTTCCATTTTCCTAAGTGCTGTCAAACACAACAAAAAAGTCATTCATGGTGCACAGAATAACCATGTTTTAAAAGTGATATTCACTTTAATGTACCAGTAAAACTACTAGGAATTGAGCCTCTTTTCTTAGAAAGAAAAGAAYTCTACCCTATTATTCACACCCAAGCTTAAGCTCACCTTACTCATTATTTCAAGACAGTTTAAATGGGTATTGTGCTGACATATTTTACTTCAAGCCTTTTTAAAAGCAATTCATTAGAGAACAAACCATCCTTGAACTCAATGGTAATAATGTGTTCAACGAATTGCCAAGTACCTTATAAGAGGTTTAAAGATATTCCACAGAATTTTTATGAAGTTGGTTGGATGGACAACRTAGAGTGCTTTAAGGTTTTTCTTATACCTAGGAAAAGAAAATGAAATTGTTAGAAGAATGTTAAATGCCAGAGATGGTTGAAATGAATAGCTACAGCTGAATGGAAGGTTATTATTACAGGCATATTACCTGGTATTCTTTTCAAATATATTAAAAAGACCTGATTCAGAAGAAATGGAATGTAAAATGAGAAAAAAAATAAAAAAAAAGAAAAACAAACAAAAGCCAGTTTTTAAAAAGGGCCAGTTTTGACAATAGGCCTAATGAACTATTATGTTCCTAGCCAATGCCTGCTGTCTCATAGATTCAGTATCAGGGAAACAGAAGGGAAATTATGCAATTTGAAAAAAATACTGACAGGAGAATGAAGGACCTATAAAGCAGTCACTGATTAAAAAATTACTTTTCCATATCCCTTTATTTCTGCTTACAGAACWTCCATTTTGGAAAAATTTTTTACATTTTCAGATCCAGAATTTATASCTAATTCTGTAATTTTACCACTAACTTTGTCTTGCTTTGGTAGTAACTAAAGGTGAAGCCAACTGCTAGTTGTCTGATATTGCATTATCCCTTTTGTATGCAACAAAACTTTCCTTCATGATAGCTTTGCTTGAACTTACAGTGTTTTTTCAGGGTATCTAGGCTGAAACTGAAATGGAAACCTGGCTGCACAAAAAGACTCTTTCCTTATTCAATATTATTGCAAACTGAAATTGAGACATGCATACTGAAATATCCTACTTTTATACGTAATTTTCTGCTTATTACTTTGCCAAGTTTGCTTCCCCATAGGGACAACKATCAGGGAAAAATATGACCATGAACTCCTAAGGAAAATCTTCTTGGGAAAAAGAAACCAACTCAGGAATTGCATGAGTTTTTCCTTTTGGGTTTTAATTGGGCCTGTACATCTGTGAATGGAACAGGCACCGTGTGTTTTCACAAAGCCACTGCCACACACAAGCAGGCAACTATCCCTGTGCAACTGTGCCTAAGATCCCCAAACCCACAATAAAAAGACCTGAGTTGCTTTACTAAAATATCCATTTTAACTTTGTTTTGCACCTTGAAGCAAAAGCCCTAAGCTCTTGTCTGTGTGGAAGTTTATGTTCTTCAGTTTCCTGAATGTCCAAAAGACTTTACTGAGCCTCTGCTGTGAACCTTCAAAGCAAGATCTATTCTTTTGAAACTACTCTTGTTCAATATTTGCTTTCATGATGCTGGCTAATTACTCTTGTCCTTTGTACTCTCATCTGTTCTCCCTTTCCTTTGGCCCCAGAAGCCTGAAAAGARCTATTTTTGCATTGGATTTTTCCCCTCTGGCTGGTACAGTAACCCATACATGTTGGGCTGGSAATTTTGCTTTGAGTTGTCAATGACAGGTGCCAAGAAATTCCAGCTGTTAATAAAATGATRGGTTCTGCCTGGTGACCTGAGCTGCTGTTCTCCCTTTGCTCTACTGCCTTCTGGGTCAGGGTGGGGGAATAGAGACAGATTTTTTCCACACTTTCAGGGAASAAACATCACAATTCTGGTCTCCAGTATTAAAATGAAATTTATCCAAGAGTTTTGGCCTAACCAACTACTCCATGAAGCCCTGAACCATAGCCATAAGTACTCCAAAGTTCAGGTACATTCAAMCACAGATTTTAGTTTGGTTGCCATGGATTTTTACACCTTTGGATAACCACTGCAGCACCCAGGTAATTTCTCAGAACTGCACAGAAGACCCTTAACAAAAAAACCAACAGCATTGACATCACTATAAGAATTTGCAATGGCAAAGTGAACTCAGTTATTTGGGGGTGGATTAACATTCATGGAAGTTAGCTGCAGACATTAAACAATCTGAAGAGCAAACCAAGGCTTTTGGAGACATACTTGCGGTCAAATTCCTTGTAGGCTGTTTGTAACCATTTCAGAGATGGTTTATTCAGACTCTTCAGGCCATAGTGAAAGTAGACAACTGTATARTCATTCTCTACATACTGGTCCAGTGTATACTTTAAGTACCTGAGGAGAGATAGAACATTTTGGTTTTAAGACAGTTACTGGATGAGATTTTTGAAACAGAAACTYGGAAAGAAAATGTGTTATTTTTGCACAGAATGCTAGTGACTGCAAACTCATGTTTCCTTCAAAGTATTTATCTCAGTGGCAAATAATTCCTCATCATTGCAACATCAGAAATTTAAAAAACATATTTAGTTACAAAAACTATGGTGCTCATCAGTCACTTAAAATGAAGACAATAAGGGACTCTATTTGTCAAGCAATTTTTAAAAAGGTGCATTTTAACTACAAGTGACTTTTGTTTTGCTTTTTTTAGTCTTTGTAAAGTCCTTCCTTTTAAACAAGCAAACAGTGTCATAAACAATGAAGTATACATTTTGGGCTTTCCTCTCAATTTAGAAGTTTCTAAATCCTTGAAAAATCCATTAGTCCTAATTAAGCTTCTCTTCTTGAATRTATTTGCCTTTCCCTTCTTTACATTGTGGGGGCTAAGTTCGTACATCATTTCCCTTAAAACTAATTTAAAGAACTACACTATGTATCCCATCTTGAAATAATACTGCATGTTTTATAAGCAGATTGCTGTGTATTTATTATTTTACAGTATAGTTTAAGATTAYTTTCATTCCCTTCCTCTTACACTTAAGAACACAAGATGGCCTATTAGACAGCTTAATGACTCAAATAAGGCAATGATGGAGCAGTGTCTYGGGAAAAGCATCCCTGCAATTAATATAGTGCTGTTTKGATCCCTGACTTAAGTATTAATGGYATTTTAATGGAAAAAGTAGTAGTGACAGWCAATTAAGACTTTTATTTAAGAGTTTGAAATTAAAATATATCTAAACAGATGTTGTTGCAATCAGAGTGACTCACATTTTATTTTACAGCCTGTAAATTCCTTGTTACATCGCATCCAGAAAACATGTATTTTTAAAAATAACTGAGAGTGTTTTGTGGGCATATAATAACCAGTATTTTTCCACCATCAATTACCTGTTCCAAGACTGTTACAGAATTGCAGGGACATTACAAAAGCTTTACCAAATCAATTATTTCAGTGATTTCATCACAACACACCTAGCAATCACAGCCTACTCTTTTCCTACAGTTTTTCTCAGAATTCAACATCTAATTACCTAAAACCAGATCACTTGATAGTTATATTGCTACCTTCACATTCAACACTTTCCTTCAGCTCTCTCTTAGGACAGATTTTCCAAGCGAACTCAATGTGTGCTCAGACACRGGAAAACGTGCTGAGAAGAGCGTAAAAAATGAAGCAAACATGCTCTCAAAATAATTTAAGTAACCTGTCCATTTTCAAGAGTAGTTGAAACAACAACAATTCTGTCCTTTCCAATGGTGATGGTTGAAAGGTACTCAAACATTTTGGCAAATCYAAATAAATTTATAAACCTAGTAAGGACAGGACTCTCAGGACAAAGCAGATCTCTTTGCAGTGACAAACTATGAGGCAGAAGCATGTCCTGATATCTTGCCACAGCAAGTTTATAAGGAAGAATGTTGTTAATTTACATATTCACAACCCCTCTTAACAAAAAAAAAAAACCTCAAAATGAGATACATATAAAAATATTAAGCATAATGAACTGAACATAATGCAGATAATTTCATAAAAAAGAAAACTCACTAAGATGCAAATGACTAAACAACACTCTTCCTGAGTGATTTAGGAAATAAAGTATAGCAATTAAAACAAACACAGCTACTCATGAGAACATATATGCAGCTCTAAATTACTAGAATTTCCCTTTCATTTGTCCACATTACAATTTTTTAAATACAATAAGAATTTGTCAATAAAATCAAGATGGCAAGTACATAGTGAATTGCTTCTTCCAGTAAAAACTCCAGGTGAGATAAYTGGCAGTTTCATCCACATCTCATTCACTTAATATTAACACTAGTAGGTCTTACATCCTTTCWAATATCACTCCTTGCCTACTGCTTCTCCTCCCTGAAAGCTCATTCCCTTCAAAACAAGTAACAGAAGCTCTTATATAAAGTGTAAAGCAATCCATGAAGAAGATTAAAACCAACTTACTCAAGCAACCTTGTGTGATTGAGCTGATGGGATGGGGGCATGCGGCAGCAACTGAAGGTAATCACCTTCCTTCCAGAACTGTCATCACCTGGCAAATAAAACAGYCAGTAAAGACAATACTCAATTATTTGTGGGATCTCAGGTATCTGAAGGGATGGCGTGGATCTTCTGATGTTTGAGGCTGACTTTAGCTCCTGTTATTACCACTGTGAAACTTCACTGCCCAGACAGCTGCAGAAAGGTGGGCAAAGGATAAGGCAAAGCTCAGAAAGTCAAATGCAAATATTGGTGGTGGTGCTCAGCTCCAGACAGGGAACACTCAGGTCCTCCTGCAGCATCCAGCTGTGGAACAAAACAAGCCTGTTTTCCCTACCAGTTTTGGAAATTACATGTTTTCAAACTAGTCATGCTTTATCCCTGGAATTTATTACAACACAAGCATTTTGGRCATCAGTTTTATCACACATGTAAGTTGGATGTTCCATGTGTAACTTCAGCTTTTTCAGACACTCTCTTTCAGAAGCACTGCTACACTAAGACCACATTAAAACACAACAAGCAAGGCATTTAAGAATGTTTTGGTTAACCTGATGATCTGCAGGTACACATCCCTTAGTCCCTCTGACAAAGCACATACTGCTGCACTCAAGTTCATTTGTTCTTTGACTCATGACAGCTTCACTCACTCTGTTTGTACAGATAAGCCTGGTGTTCGTGTCATGCCTAATCCACACCCAAGTTCCACCACATGGAAAATCAAACACAGAGGTTGTGTCAKGCTCATACTGAAGGTCACTCTGCACTAAAGACTGTCAAGTGTTGAGATTTTAACTTATATCTACATGAACTACAGTGTTCCTTTTAAAGGAATGCAGAAACATTCCAGAAAACAGACTGAWTTCATCACATTTGCTACATTCTTGGTCTAATTTCCATGTTCCAACAAATTTGGAGACAATATTTAATACCTTGCTTCTATTACCACTAAAACATCAAAGTTTGGCTTTGGTATCAGTATGAGTACAATAAAGTCAAGAACTGGGATTATTATTTGTAATTCCGTTATTCCCCTTTCACCCCCAATTAAGTAGTTTTAATGAATAAACAAAAAAGAGTAAAATGGGGAAAGCRAAATCTCCGACAGAATCAATTAATGAATATATAAAATCGTATGAGCATTTTTATGACAAYTAGAACAGCTTCAGACACCCTTAATCATTCTAATTTGTATTACTGATCAAACTACTTGATCTGCACAAACAAAACACTTYTCAGCATTGCAAACACACGTTTTCCATGAAAACCCATCACTAATATCATAAACCTCCCTTCATTCAACTCAGGAAGAGGTGGCTGTCCTCACCTGAAATATTTCACACTAAAAACTCCTGTATTTGTCTTGTTCAGTTCGAGAGAGTAATGATAGGACAGCATCGATTTTAACCCATTCCATTTTAGGTGYCAAAGGAGAAAAGAAAGGGAAGTGATGAAATAAACAATTATTTTTCACATATGAACATGGGCTGGGAGATACCTTCTGCATTACCCATTCCAAGCCTGCTGACTCAATCTTCTCCTGTTCTATTTTTGGCTGGTTACTTATTTTTATTATCTTCCTCAAAGAGTTTTTTTTTCATACCACCTGATGTCCCTTCCCATGTTAAAAAYAAATTCTAACTCCTGGGTTAAATAAGGTGCTTGAGTACCACTAAAGAGCATGCAACAGCACAATTATAGATACTCAGGTATAGCAACATTTTTTTTTTAAACAGACCATAATTTATTTCCTTTTGTCTTGTTTTATATTCCCAGAGTACTCATAAAGGCATTAAAATGTGATGTGCATCAACATGAATGTCATACGAAATTAAAACATTAATTTGATTGCCTTCTAAATCACAGCTTGTTTATGAAAAAAAATGCTGTGTTACAATACACTCCATATATTTTATCTGTGCGAAATAATAACTTTAATGAGCAAAGTAAAGCTCCCTCAGGAGGGCAGTGAGCTTGGAAAATGTCTATTGCATGTGCCAAAACATTTGCTTTCCAGTCCAATGCAGTCAGCATCCTATGGAYAGAATTTGTACCCAAAGACATGAAAGTTTGAAAAGTAAAATGGGGATTGGCAAACGCAAAGAGGAGTGTAACCAGGAGTATGYTGATTTCAAACCTGCACAGAACATATTTTTCTACCAGAAACTTCCTGAAAGATCATTTCCTACGGTGAAGAAAGGAAAAATTTACAGCATTTTCAGCTTTGCTCCTTGATGTTTCATTTTCAGGTCAAATGCATAGTTTTGTGTTAACCTACTTTATTCCCCAATTTAATGYCACCAAACATCTTCAGATTAAAACTTCTTTTACCCTTCATGGAAAATGAGCTCTCCCCTCAACCTCTCTGCATGGGTTTTGGGCTCCAAATATTCACAACACATTCCCCAAGACCAAGGCACTCACACTCCACCTTTCAGTCACCTCCACCTTTCTAGATATCCCTCATATTTGTTTCTTTAATAGAATTATGTGTGGCTGCACAGCACTTCAGGTTATTTAGCAAACAAAACAAATGAAGTACAGATGTGTTACTGTCACAGTCCTCAGATAGTAAGATATTGCTATACTTATATTTTAAAGCAAGATTAATTCCAGATATCTGGCTCATGTTCACATATTACTATCCACCTGTTTTCAAGATGAAGGCTGAAAGCTTCAACATAATTCCTATGTATCACCTTGAGTTCAGTAAGAAAAAGGTGATAATGTGTGTAGTAAGGTAMAGTTTCCAAACATACCTGCCAGCTGGATGATGCCATGTCTTGCAACATCGTAGTAGGGGTGATTGATATTTAGCTGWGGATCCTCAAGTGGTGGAGGCAGAAATGTTTCATCCTGTGCTGAGTGTGTATCATCMGCTTCATCTTTCTGCAGTTCTAAAGCAGCAAATGAGAACACAAAAGTGCTCATGAGCAGAGAAAAACTTCTGCCTCTAAAACGTTACTGAAGGGTTGAATTTTACCTCAGTTTGACAAAACCATGGGCCTCTCTCTATCACTATTGGTTGCAGTTACAAATCAGTTTCTTGTTCTTTACACTTTCTGTGGGCTCATTCTCCCCAGGCTGKAGCCAAGGATCCTCTGTTACTCACACCAAGTGCTGTTTAAACCAGCACAGGGGACAATGTGAGGAGCTTGGCAAGTTTGAGGATGAAAATTGCTTTCCATGGATTTTGTACCAATCYCTAGAAGTAGAAAGGCCAGCTGGTCACTCCTGGAAGTCACGAAGTGGTGAAATGAGAGAAAAGGGGAGGGAGGGAAAGGCAGGCTGAAATGAAGGCAGGCTGGGAAAGATCTGCAAGACCCTTGTTCTGGGTGTCAGGGAAAAATAAAAGCAATGCTGATCATTCCAAATGATGAGCCCTCGATGCCTTGGTCACATTGCTCCACTCAATGACATCTTTGGAAGTAACAGCACAGTGCTCTGTGCTCACTGCACCCGTGTCTGCTCGGAGTAACAGCTCCCATTTGTGCCACAACATGAGATGATGGTGACATTCCAACAGCCTGGAATTGCACTGGGAACATCCCATAGTAAGTCACAACAGCTGCATGTATTAAACTAACTTTCAGTCCTAACTTTCTAGTATTAGTTTTCGAATGGCTTTAATGGGTACAAAGTACAGTACAGAGGCAGTAACCAATACAGGATTGCTCCAAGAAATATCACAGAATGGGGCAAAAAYCTCCCATGAACTGAAGATACTCTATTAAATCACTCTATTAATGCTACACAGATGAAATTTGAAGAATTATAAAAAATATTTACCTATATCAGCTAATGTCTCATAGTCAACCTCAGACATGTTTCCCCTTAGGGAYGAGTCTATGCAAACCTTGCAAACGGATTCTTGCAGGATGAAATGATCCTTGGTTCAACCCTACAAAAATAAACAAAGGAAGCTATTATCACAATTATTAGCACATTTTATGCAGTATACRATATCAAAAGATAATATCTAAAGAAATATTAAAAGAAATCAAAAAACATATCAAAATATCAAAAGATATCAAAAGAAAACAAAAAACCCACCCCAGAAATTCTACTGCCCAGTTGTAGAGGAGGAAAAGCCTCATTGACATTTGGCTACCATTTTCTTACAAAAGAGTGYTACAAAAGTATTTAAAAACTGCAATCCAAAAAAAAAAAGAAAAAAAGAAAAGCTATGAATTAATAATAAAGGGTTTGAAGAAACCGACCACTTCTTATTTCTGGAGGGTTGTCCCTCAAAGTACTTACCTATCACACTCCTTTAATGATAAATATCAGAATTTCTGACTAATTCACTCCTGAAAACAACTTAAAACTTACTTTTTTTTAGTGTAGATGATGATATACAGACTCTGTACCCTCACACCAGGTCACTTTTCTATTACAATTCAAAGTTTTGTTAGAGGAAACATTTTATACCTCACATTTCACATGAAAGAGCTTCATGAAAATTTCAACAGAGCATTAACATATATTTCTTTGAATTTAATTTATCCCCTTGGTTTACACCAGTTTGGTATCATTGGAACATGTTAAATAAAAACAAAATGGGCAAATTCATGGCCTGGTGGTTGAAAAAAGGCTTACACAATCATGTTTCCTCTGCCCAGATGTTAGATTTTGTATTGCTCCTTCAAATCACTGAAACTGGGAAATTATTTTAAACCAAAAAAAGTTCAGTTTGCCTGCTCGCTGCAGGTTCTATCACTTAGAAAATTTTCATACCATTRTTTTTACAATWTTTTTACAATTASCAATTATTTTGTACCAATCTTACTTGTTCCTCATTGAAAATAATTACCTCCACTAGCAGGAAACTCAATTTAAAAGTCCATACACACAGGGAAAGTGCCATTAAGTTTAAGCAAGAAAATTATTCCGTTTCCCACCCAGCAATGATATTCTTACCAAAAAAAAAGTAAATCTGGGCCAGATTTGTATTACTATTAAAAATACATAGTGATTACTATTCGCTAATTGTATTTCTTAGGTTTTTTATTTATTAACTTTATTATTGATATTGACAATTTGACATTTCTAAAACTAGCAGCAATCAGTTTAGCAACTAATCTGTAGCAGGTTTTGTAGACAATTTAGTAAGATGGTTTGATCATAAGTACTTGGTACATTTTCTGCTTATCTGCACCTGTGATGGTCAGGAATAAATGGTACATAAATATCTATTTTGAATGAACAAAATTTAAAAGTGTTTATGAAGCCAAGCTGCAAAATAAGGAAATAAGGATAAAGGAAGGAAAGCTAACTTTTACAGGTATCTTGCCTGAACATTTTCTCACAACATTTTTTCCTAAAAAAAAAATGTTTACATTTTGTAGTAATGTCAGGACTTGGAGAACTTTTCAAGCATCTGCGAATTCATACTTTCAGAACAAACAAAGCCAATGCTCAATGTATCTGAGCTCCATGGACTTCATCCCAACCAAGAATTTCTAAAAGCTCTTACAAGGAAATGGGGCTTCACCTTCCTTCTCTAGTACCTATTTACACTAGCCCTCTCCAGCCCATTGAATTTAAACCATAAATCATAAATTAAATCGTAAGTCGTAAAAATTAGGCCATATCTTTGGCACTAGAATGCTTTTCAGATGATGTAATGAAGGTCTCAATGAATTGATGGGAGAAGGAAAAAAGCCATCTCCTTCAGCCCCTGATTGAAGGAAAAAAATAAATACAATCCTTCAATACATTGAAAGGGACAAAACAAAATTTCTTCTTCATACTAATCTCTAATGCTATAGTTAGAAGTAGTGGCTCAGTCTGAAACCTGCAGAAAAATACCTGGCTTTTGAACAGCAAAGTTACTGTACAAGTTGAGAGCAGCTATGACAGCATTAAAACATTTACAGATGTTTAACACACAAAGTTACTGGTAAGGTAGAAATCATTTTGATGGAATCAAAGAATAAGGGAAGTGGGGAAGAAGCCATCTGCCTGGTTTACTTAGGGCAACAATTAGAAAGTTTACAGTTAGGAGACAAACTTAGTGTAGCACTCTCAGAAATTGATTTCCTGTTAAACACAGCATTCTCTGTTCGTGGGAGATAAAATAAACTCCTTAACAGTGTTCCATGCCACGTATCACTGTTTCTACTAAAGTGTCAGATTTGGCTATTGAGCAATCCCCCACCTCATCTCACCAGAAAGGTAACTTAAAAAAAGAAGTCCTGAAAAGAGCCAAACCACAAGCCTTTTATCAATAATAAAAATTTTGAAGTATTTTACAAAATATCACAGACAATGTTCTTCCAGTGGCAAGGTTATGACTTACTGACATCCCTAAAGAGATTCCTCCAACATTTGTCAAGGCACAGGCATCTTTGTAGTCTATTCTTTCTTTTCACTCAGCTGTCAGATATGTTCTTCTTCAAATGTAAATAGTGTGGTTTCTCTTCATTTTTTTCTCCCCATTCTTGCCTTCCACTGATATTCTTTGTTACACAGCTCATCGTGTAACATCAGTCTGCAATTTACATTTTGATAGGGTGAGAATTCTGTGCAAAGCCACTGTCTGCTAAGGGGTATCAGATACAAAACCAGGTAAAAGGCTTTGAGGAGATTATTTTATTATTTATAACACTGCCAGAAATTTGCTACGGAATCTATAAACACAGCAATACATGAGCTGAGTGCATAATGTACTCATGAAAAACGTTTTCAAAACATTCTCCTTTTCATCCCCTAGGTTGTCTGCCCTAAATAGTATTTTTCCTCAACGTATCTCCAGCACAATGTCTACCAAACCCCAAGTCCATATTTCTCATAATCAGTTGGTTTCAGCTATTTGCCATGGTTTATTTTCACATTCTTTACTGACCTGCCATTCTTTGTTGGCAATACATTGGTAAAAATAAGCAAATAGACACTGAGATTGACTTGCAAAAGAAAACTGAGTGTAGTCACCAGTCCACAGAAAAAAAAATGTAACTGCTCCAAATCAGTGCTGAGTATTTGGCATTGGACATACAGTTCTCAGCTCCCAGAGGCACCTGCAGCCCCAGTAAATGATAGGACTCAAAATATCTTACAAATCCATGGTTTGACCCATCACATCCCATATTTGCCCCATTAGAGGATTGCTATTTCTTATATGTTTGCCATCTCATGCTATTGATTCCTCACCTGCAGTCACTGTCTGTATATGTTGTGAAAATTATTGCCATCATGGGTCAAAGACTATGTCTCCAAAAGGCAAAGTGTGCTGGAGAAGAAAAACTCTAAAGGAATATGGATTACACCAATATCAAATAAAGTGAATTCAGTAATAAAGAATGAAAAATTCAGTAAGTACAACAAGTATTCCAGCAGAATCAGAGAAGAAATAATCATTTCTTCTCTAGTTTTTCTTTCCTAGAATGTTCTTCTTTCTGAAACCAGATGTTATAAGTCAATTATTGTATTTCATTCTCCTTTTACAATGTCTTGCACTTTATAACAAAAAAAAAGCTTATTTTAGTTCTGGTCTGAGAAAATTTGATGGTTCATCTAAGCTGTTCTTTACTGTACTGGCAATACTAACTTATTAAAGTTACACCTAGCATTACTGCCTATTTTTGKCTAAAGATATTGGAATAAATGATCTGTGTCAATGCCAACTTGAAAAATAATTTATTTGGTTACAGAAACATCAGTGACTTAGTAAACTCCTTGACCTAGGGCTAAAATACCATGCTCCATTAGACAGCATCCTGAAGGTCTGTAACACCTCAGTGGCAAAAATCACACTTAGATGCCAAAACACCTCCCACAATCGGGGTCACACCTCCTTGGRAGAGGCTTTGATGTCTGAAATAAGGCTCCTTTCTTCAATAACCCTGATTCCTGCTCTATGAGGACCTTTACCCCAGGCTGGACTCATTTAATTCTGATGAGAAGTTGAGCCATCATTGAGCTCAGAGACTAAGAGGCAAACAATTAAAAAGAAAATGAAAGCGAAATTATCAGCAAGGACATCAACATAACATACTGCAGCAAGGACAGGAATCCTGGCTGTTCCTACAGCAATCCTTGTGGAAGGGAAAAGGCATTTAACAAGGAATGGGGCACTTCCCTGCTGTGCAAGTGTGGGGAAAGAAGCTTGACCTCTTTTGTGTGCACTGAAGGGTTTCAGCCTGTTTGTGGACTTCCACCTGCGGGTCTTGGGAAGGGGGGCTGGATGGGAGGAATTGCAGGAATAGCAGCAAACAAGAGGAACCGGTTTTAGTGTGTACTCACAGCCCACCACAGCTCTCCCGGGAGTCAAATCAGCCTTAACTAAACTCTGTGTCACCTTCTGCCTGAAAACCTTGTGACAAAACAGCATGGTCACTGCTCACACATCTGGAAAGGTTCCATATATGGCATAAATTCAGCTGCTTATGCCTGTGCACAAGAATAAGGATTTTAACTACATGCCAAATACAGATGCAACACTTACAAGACAGAGTGCTGAAAAGTGAAATAACTACATATAGACACCCATCATAATGAGGATGAAGAGAAATAATTTTCAAGGGACTGGTAACAAGGAGGAGGAAACAGAACCCTGAAATCACAGCACATCGGTACATTGCTAGAGATATTCTTCAAGAGCTATTTTATAGCTTATAGTGTTGAATCACAAGATGCATAATTTGTACCATATCCAAATTCTTACTGCTTTGGGCAACCCCATTTTCTGCTTAACAGGTGTAATAATAYAAGCTCAAATTCTTGCAAGAGGAGTAATACACAGAAACTTTTTGTCCCATGGAGCTGTCCCACAAAGAATTTCCACAAGAGTGCAAATTCACCTACYCACCATCAAACACGTTCTCAATGTACAGAATCCGCTTCAGGTGTCATATCYTTGAGCAAATAACCACAACTCTGCCCTCATGCAAAGGTGTAAASTAACAGCCCATATAAAATCTACTACAGCATCAATTATATTATTGYGGGAAACAGCAATAAGGAAGGTGTGCTCCAGAAGGAACCCGCTAAAAGCCCGGCCGATGGGGCAAAATGAGAGTCAGACCCCAGACCACCCAAATGGTTGGTTCCCCTTTGGAGAGGGMACTTTACATCCCAAAAAATAGCGGGTTGGGGTAAAAGGGCAGCTCAGGAGGTTGCTAAAAAGCATAAAGTTCGACGCATCCCTGTATACACCCACAAACATCTACGAAGCGCTCTGTGGAGGAGCCCCCGCGGTCCCACAGCACCCGCGCCCCTCACGGCCCCTCACGGCCCCTCACGGCCCCTCTCCGCTGATGAGCCCGGCGGCTTTTACCTTTTCCCTTTAACCTTTCACCTTTTACCCTTTGCCTTTTTACCTTTTCCCTTTCACCTTTTACCCTTTGCCTTTTACCTTTACCGGAGCGATCGCCGCCGGGAGCCCCGGCAGATCCCGGCCCGGCCTTTCGCTTTCGCTTCCCGGGGCGGTGGCGGAAGGCGGCGGGGATGGGAATGGGGCAGGAACGGGGCGGTTCCAGCCGGGAAACCCGAGAGCACAGTGTGGGGATTAATTAATCTCCTCTTAATGCCTCTCGATTGGGGATATAAATCACCTGGCAAGTTTTGCAGCGTCGCCTGCAGCGGGGAGATGGGCGCGGAGATGCAGAGCCCCTCAGCGGCCCTGAGTGCAAATGCTTTTTCTTTCTTCTGTACATCCTCCTCACCCCACTTTACTAAAATAAAAATTTCTGCTAGGTGCGCAACTTTGCATTTTTTCTGTAAATTGCATGTCATTTCTCTTTCTGCTGTCTGCAGACTCGTCCAGTTCTTTCCATAAGGTATTCTAAACCTTTTCTGCTCTAACAGCAGGTCTCATGTTTATGTCRTCAGCAAATTTCATTAACACACGTTTTTTTGCCAGGGTTACTAATAAAATTTTAACTAAGATTAATTCTGATATAAGTCCCTATGGAACCACATTAGTAACCTCCTTCCATCAAGACTCTCCCTTTCAGCACGTGTTACTGTCCTCACTTTTCATTTCTTATATTCATCCACATCTCTCCATCTTAATTAATATTTTCTGGCACGGCAGCCTCTCAAATATCATCCTGAAGTCCAGATTTCATCTACTGTATTTTCAYTGTCTGAGAGAATGATTTATCAGACTTCATCATACTGGCTTAGTGTGGTTTATTCTATCTTTGGTGAAGTSCTGCTGCATTTTAACTCAGTTTTCATATATTTCCACATCTTTAATTAGTTCCTTTCAGCATTTGTTCTAAAGCTTCATGTATTAATAAGGTCAGATAAAGAGCCTGTAGCTGCTTGGATCAGTCCATTTTCTCACCACGTACAAGTCCCACACAAAAATCTTTAKATTTTTCAGTGTTTTTTGGGCCGCTGTGGCCCTTAGTTCTGACCTGAAATTAGCCCCAGTGTACCTRTGGTTTATTCTGGACTGGCCCCTCAAGCCCAAAAAGCCAAATGTGGTTTTTACTTCAAAGTCTACCTCACAGATTTCTTCTGCAAACCTACACAGATTGCTTAGCTCCCAGGTTCCTTTGTAATCATGACTTTGAGGTTTTTTTTTTTTTTTGTTTTGTTTTTTATGTATGCAACCTGAATACTCTAGCCTTGCTTTGCACAGGCCTTTTCCATTTCAAATGCATTTCTTTATGCTTTTATTTTTATTGCATTGACATTTTGCAACCTAAAAAGAGCAACTGAAGAATACTGCTGCTTCTTTTCTCTTCAAGAACATACCCAGTGAATGAACTTAGAATAAATCTTACTGATTTAAAACWAAATCATTTTGCTCATCTCCAGTTGCAAACAACTGCCACCTCAAAATGAAATGCAGAAATGAAGTTCACAGCTGAATAAAGTGTTAAGTTCGTTCTACAAAACCCAGAGAGAGCTTTCTTTTTCTCTAGCATTAATTTGGTATTTAAACAGATTTCTTTCCATGAACTTTGCCACTTCCTAATTATCTCCCAAATGCTTACTTTCAGATGGAGAAGACCATTGTGAGGTCCTTGCTAAGAGTGGCATTTAATTCCTAAGAACAGTAGCACATATTGGGGAGAGAGGGGTTTGAGGGGGGAGGCAAATCCAGATTTTTTTCTGGACCAATGTACTTCTACAACCTTCAGGCAGCATGAARCTCTCCCCTCTGCATCTGTTTTTACATCTGAGCAAACTGTTTAGAGGTGACTTTACATCAACTGCGTACCAGGCAGTGAGATCAGTYTGTAAAAGGAGATTATCTGGTAATTTGGAAGAGGAAACATTCAATTCAGGGCAGCGATGACTCTAAGGACTATAGGATTATTGCTTGAAGCAATATCTATAATATTGCTATATAAAGCTATAATTTATAAACAGGTATGCTTAAGGAATATAATTCACTACTGCTAAGAGTTACTTTCTCTAAAGTTACAAATGAGAGCCCTCTAATGCAAAATTATGCATCACWGTGTCTTTTTATTTACAATGTATAATTTATCAGCAACATAAACACACAGATCCAGTGGAACCGCCAGCATTCTTTCAGTGCATCTCAAATTTCTAAAATGGCAGCGCAATTCTACTGTATGGATAATAAAGCAAAAATACTAATTTAAAAGGAGAAAATAAATTTCTGTTTCATCACTTAAAAATAGTAAGTAAAAAATAATATATGYCAACAAAAAAAGAACTTCATTTCTGAGCTTATTTATGTGATATTTCCCCTATTCAGGCATTTGTCAGAGTCTTTCATGGCTACAAAACAGAACTAAACACTGAAGAAAATATGTAAATCAAAAGCAAGATTTAAGGGACCAAAAAGTTGTTTGAATTTTGTTTCTCCTCTGCATTGYTTTGACACATTTATGAACTTACAGTTGGATTTTGTCAAACAGGAAATTCCGTAGTAATTATCATTAGTGAGCCATGGTAAYAGCAGTCCTGTGAAACCACAGGCTCTTTTCAAAATCATTCCCTCTTAAAGGAAATCAATCCTAATATGGGCCAAACCTCATTTGCCTGCCTAGCATCACCGAAYTTAGCAGCAAAACAATTTACTCTGGCAAATCACTCACTCTCATTTCAAAGAAGCTGATTATGAGGTACACAATTACTGGAAGAGCCATGTGATATAGCCCACAGGAAGCACTGCTGTACAAATACCTTTGCTGCTTTAGTAGGCCTGGCTGGTCTTATCTTACAGATAAATAAGGATCAATGGAGAAATATTACAGATTTTTTCTGAGAAGTACTTTTTACAAGCACAGGCTTCAGAAAGAAGCATACAGATCCAAAGCAATGATACAATAGCCTTTTGATGCACACCAGATATGTCAAAAAAGCCACACATTTCCTAGAAGGAAGATATTTCAAAACTTTTTCCCTCAGGAAGATCTTAATGGAATCCATAAAAGATCTGGTCTTCAATCCAAGTGCAAAATTTAAATCCCTTGCTGAATGTTTTAACAACTGACAATCTCAAAATCAAGTTCTTTTCATCATTTTCATCAGCCTTTGTTCAGAAACCTGTTCATCCATTTCTTTCTACCTCATCTTTACCAGAATAACATGGAAGGCACTTGAACTTTAAAAGTTTTAAACTTTGGTTTCTGACCCAAGTTCATTAATGAGAATTTGTTGGAGGTGTTCCCATGTTACGGAGTGAGAAGAATTGGCTTGTTTCAGGTTCAAGCTGAATTTTTACCAAAGTTTTGCATCAGTTTGTATCATGAGCTCCCTCTCAATAAGGACAATTTAGAAGCAAGACTGTGACTGCAGTTTCTATATGAAAGGACATTATTATGAACAGAACAGAGAACAAAGATTCCCAAATCAGTTTCCAATGCAAATACAACAGCAAACAACAGAATCAGCACATATGGCAGTAGATTTTTATTAATTGGTTAACAGCTCAAAATATTGTTGCCTACAAATCAAAGTCATGTAAATAGAGCTCAATCACTGTATGGAACTTGAACAAGATGATAATGGGCAACAAAGCAAGACAATCCCATTCATTTTCCATATGGCTATTATGCTGAAACTTTTCTGTGCATTATTATGGAATTATGTGTTCTGCTTTTCAAAGTGATGTGTTTAATTAGGAATCCAAGTTTGCACCAATGTCCCAGAAGGTATATAAAGAGAACTCCAACTTGATTTTGTTACCGTGTTCTTTTATTTCTATGTCAGTGTTGCTCTTGCTTAATTTTTGTCAATTTGATAAAAATGGTTTAGTTAAATCTTATTCCACTCTAATGAAACAGGTCTTTTTATTACAGCACAACTATTGCAGTATTGCACCTTTTATTGCACAAAGGCTGATGGCAGCAAATATGAGTATATCTCTTTACAAACTCCTTTATTGGCACCATTGCAATTGCATACACATCATAGATTATTTTCCTCTCTAGCAAGACAAATGGTAATAGATTATTATTGCAGTGAAAGGGAGAGAAAGACATATATACTTTCAGGAATTCACCTGGGAGAAATAAATCATTATTGTGAAAAGCCTGATACTTTTCTTGCTTTCAGCTCCAACATATATATATATCGTTTGGACCTAATAATTAACAATTTGGATTTTTCAGACAGATGTGCTAAGTACACCTTTAGAAAACCAGACAGAGAAGATGGTCCTTGCAGAGTGAATTGTCGATGCTTTTCCAAGTTGCATGGGGCTGCAATCAATGTATAGTGGCTTTTCAGTAAGGTGGGGGAAGAGAAGAGGAGCAAACAGAAAGAAGAGCCTTCCATCTAGTGGAGGTTGATTTTTTAACAGCTGATTCAGAACTGTCTGCAGTTTTAACAGCAAGCTCTGTCTCATAAGCACCAGTGACAGAGTTACCTCAGTATAGAAATACAGACTGGAATGTTGCACTGAGACATGCTCCAGCCTCAAACCACTCCCTCACCTTCCTTGTCATGCTCTAAACTCCTCTGAAGTAGTCAGAGTTCAAGTCGAAATTATTTCAGAAATGAGATGTGGGGAGCATGGTATTGCCTTTGTTTTTCATGCTAAAATAGGAAAGTAGTTTGAACAGCACTGCCTGTTTGAACTGGGAGCTTCCCTTAAGAACGTGAGAAGGGCCGAGGGGCTGGCTATTGAACCACATCTTCATAGAGACCTCTCATGATTGGTTTAAATGCTTTTCCTCACCATTTTTCTCATTTTGACTGGAGTGTTATTGATTTTTTAGGTAGATCAAAGCCATTTTGACATTTGGTGTGCAGAGTTTGGAAAAGCATTGGAAAACAGGGCACTAGGATATTTTGGAATTCACTGACTAGCTAGCAAATGAGTTTTCCATCCTCCTAATTCCACCATCTGAAATTCACAGGAGCATTAAGTCATTATTCAAATGAAAAGCTGCTCGTAGCCATTGCCATATTTTTGTCAACAACAAAAAGACCAAGATGCTGATATGAGGGGAGATATGCATATTCTTATTTATATGGTAATTGAAGGGTCAGACAGCTTACCTAAGATGTGGTCTGCCTCA